GGACCGGTCGGGCTGGGCGCTCCAGCGCCCGGCTAGACGGAGCGGGAGGATGGGGAGGTGGCACTCGGCCGAGGAGCCTCGAGAAACGAGAACGGGACAGGGACGGGGCGAGGGGAGCTGAGCACAAATGGGGCCGGCCTGGGTGGCGGCGGGCTGGGGCTCTCTCGCCTGTCGCCTTGCTTCTGGAAAGGTAGGGGGTGGGACCGAAGTGGTCAAGGGGTCTCCGAGGCCTTGGTTCCTAGCCTCCCAAACGGCGAAACCTAACCGACTCGGCCCGTGGATAAAGCATGTCCTCAGCAGCCCAGCGGCTTAGGTTGTGACAAGTTCGGTGCTGAACAGCCCTTCCGTTGGAGGATTGGGAGGGGTACAGAAGATGGGGGGGCAGGCGGGCTTTCTGGAACTTTGGATCTGAGAGAGGAGAGCCCATGGTACATACATACCAGGCCACAGAAGACCTGTCCCGAAGGTGGGCAGACACGATCAGTAGGGTTGAAAGAGTTGGAAGGGAACTAGTAACCAGCCATCCGGAAACGACAGTAACCTGGATAAAGGCAGAGGGGAGATGGCAGCAGGAGGCAGGCCATAAAAACAATGGGCTGCCAGCTGGGCATGGTGGTGCACACCCTGCGGCAGGAGGATCAGGAGTTGCAAGCCAGGGGACAGATACGTGGTGATGCCCAAAAATGGGAGGGAGCGGAGGAAGAGGAAAAGAAATAGGGGCTGCTTTGGGGTGTTGGGTCAGGTGAGGAAGTCAGGGAGAGAACCATAGTGGGGATCGGGTGTGCTGTGGTGAAGACCCAGGAGAGGACGGTACTCTACTTAGGCTGGGTTACCTGGACTGGCCTCCCACATTCAACAAGGAGCCCCCAGGACCCTGGTCTACAGACTGAAGAGTCGAGCTGCCTCCCTGGGGTTGATGCCTGCCTCTCCTAGGCTTCAGGGCCCTGTGTAGATAACCAGCCAGCCCTGGGTCTCAGCCCCTCCACCTACCCCCAGGACTGCCTCACTGTCCCTCAGGATCTCTGATGCTGTTAGGTCTTAGCACTCCCACAGACCAGGGGTGTGGAAATGCAGGTGACTGATAACTCACTTCCCTGTTCTCTTCTCAGCTATGCTGTGGAACGGAAGATCGAGCCTTTCTACAAGGGTGGAAAAGCACAGGTACCAGCCTCAAGGCCAGTGGGGGCTGTACATTGAGTGCTGAGCGCTACCTTGGCTGACACCTCTCTGTTTCCAGCTGGATACGACTGCCCAGCACCTCTTCTGCATTTGTGGCACCAGACTCAATGTCCTGGACGTCGCCTCGGGGTCTGTACTTCGGAGCCTGGAGCAGGTGAGAGGAGAGGGGACAGGTTTGAGAGTGGGCAAGGGAGGAGGGACGCAGGCTAATATGCTACTCTGTTTCTGTTCTTTCCTTAGGAGGACCAAGAAGACATCACTGCCTTTGATCTCAGCCCGGATGATGAGGTACGGGTTGCAGGGGTGGGGAGTGGCCCTCAAGGGACAAGGGCGCCTCACACCCAGTTGAACTGTGCTCTCTCTCAGACACTTGTGACAGCCAGCCGGGCACTGCTGCTGGCTCAGTGGACCTGGCGGGAGGGCACTGTGACCCGCCTGTGGAAGGCAGTACACACAGCCCCTGTGGCCACCATGGCCTTTGACCCCACCTCCACACTGCTGGCCACAGGTAGGGCCCAGCCGAGTGGGCGGGCTGGGGGGGGCCTTGCACCCTCCCTCACACATGTGCCCGCAGGAGGCTGTGACGGGGCGGTGCGCATCTGGGATGTTGTGCGGCACTACGGGACACACCACTTTCGAGGCTCACCGGGCGTTGTGCAGTGAGTGGGGGAGGCGGAGGGCGGGGGGGGGGCTGCCGAGCCATCCCTGGGCCGCGTACCTCACCACCCACCCCCAACCCGCCTGCAGTTTGGTAGCCTTCCATCCGGACCCCACTCGCCTGCTGCTCTTCTCCTCAGCTGCGGACTCCGCCATCCGTGTGTGGTCCCTCGAGACCCGCCTGTGCCTGGCCCTGCTGACCTCCCACTACAGCGCTGTCACCTCGCTGGCCTTCAGTGCTGACGGCCACACCATGCTCAGGTTAGCAGCCGTCCGCGGAGGGAGCGAGCGGGTGGGAGGGCAGCACCGGACCTGAGGGAGCCACTCCTCTTCAGCTCCGGCCGAGATAAGATCTGCACCGTCTGGGACCTCCGGAGTTGCCAGGCCACAAGGACCGTGCCCGTGTTTGAGGTAGGCGGGCACAGGGGCCGTGCCAGGGAGTCGGCCGGGAAGGAGAGGTGGCTCGGCTGCAGTCTTTAACGCAGGTCTCCCGCAGAGTGTGGAGGCTGTGGTGCTGCTGCCTGAGGAGCCAGTGCGTGCACTGGGAGTGAAGAACTCGGGCCTGCACTTCCTGACAGCTGGTGACCAAGGTGTGTATGGCTGACCACGAGCGGGCTGCGGGGCGGGGGCGGGCCGGGGGCCTGAGTCCCAGCGGCCCCTGTCCTCACACAGGGATCCTGCGCGTGTGGGAGGCGGCTTCCGGGCAGTGCGTGTACACCCAGCCACAGCCGCCAGGCCCAGGGCGGGAGCTGACCCACTGCAGCCTGGCGCGCGCCGCTGGCCTGCTCCTCAGCGTCACCGCTGACCACAACCTGCTGCTGTATGAAGCCAGCTCCCTGCAGCTGCAGAAACAGGTGAGCGCCGGCCCCTGACGGGCCCGGGGCCGGGGTCCCAGCTCCCCGCTCACCAGGCCCTTCACCTCCATAGTTTGCTGGCTACAACGAGGAGGTCCTGGATGTCCGGTTCCTCGGGCCCAAGGACTCCCACGTAGTCGTGGCCTCCAACAGCCCCTGTCTGAAAGTGTTTGAGCTGCAGACATTGGCCTGCCAGATCCTGCACGGCCACACAGGCAAGTGTGGCTCCGGAACCTTACCCCTCACTCTCTGCCCCCTAACCTTGCCGGCGCCATTGCTGACTGCTCCCTCCCCACTCCCCTCCCAGACACAGTCCTGGCCTTGGATGTGTTCCGGAAGGGGTGGCTCTTTGCCAGCTGTGCCAAGGTGAGTTCCCATGAGAGGTGCAGAGGCATGGGCCTCCCCGGTGGGGGCGCCAGCGTGGCAGCACCGTGCCCCACCTCTCTCCTCAACCCCTCCCGCCTCCAGGATCAGAGCGTCCGCATCTGGAGGATGAACAAAGCTGGCCAGGTGGACTGCGTGGCTCAGGGCTCCGGGCACACGCATAGCGTGGGCACCATCTCCTGTTCTAGGTAGCCTGGCGTGGGGGAGGCTGAATCGGGGGGGTGGGGTGGGGGGCAGAGGCCCAGAGCTATCAGAGGTTCTAGTTGGGGAGGAGAGAGGTGGCTGAGCTGCCCTTGTAGGTCCTCATTGCTGTTAGGGGTTTCTAGACGGTGACGCTGAGCAAGGTCCGGGAAAGAAAGTGACTCCTGCAGCTATGGCCTGGGTCCGATTAGGATATGGTTAAAGGGGCGGATGGGTACAGGCAGGGGACCAGAAACATTTTGGAGTGACACAGGCTAGTGGTCTGGCCAGAGCAGAGGTGTGCGTGCGGATAGTCCTCGGCAGAGCCTCCCTCCCGTCGCTGCAGGCTGAAGGACTCCTTCTTGGTGACGGGCAGCCAGGACTGCACGGTGAAGCTGTGGCCCCTCCCCGAAGCCTTGCTGTCTCAGAGCACAGACCCAGGTGGCAGCCCCGTGCTCCTGCAGGCACAGACCACCCAGCGCTGCCATGACAAGGTGACCAAGCGGGCACCTGGGAAGTGGGCGTGGCTGAGCCCTGGCTTGGACCGTGATCTGAGCTGCCACCTGTACCCGTCACCAGGACATCAACAGCGTGGCCATCTCCCCCAATGACAAGCTGCTGGCCACCGGCTCACAGGACCGCACCGCCAAGCTCTGGTCCCTGCCACAGTGCCGGCTGCTGGGTGTGTTCTCGGGCCACCGACGCGGTCTCTGGTGTGTCCAGTTCTCCCCCATGGACCAGGTGCTAGCCACAGCCTCAGCAGATGGCACCGTCAAACTCTGGGCGCTGCAGGACTTCAGCTGTCTCAAGGTAAGCAGCTCGCTCTTGTCCCAGCCCTCCCACCCCACAGCCGGGTGCCTCACGCCCTTCTCCCCTGCAGACCTTTGAGGGGCACGACGCTTCTGTCCTGAAAGTGGCCTTTGTGAATCGCGGCACGCAGCTGCTGTCCAGGTGAGTGGGCCGGTGGCAGGAGGGGTGGCCTGCGGGGAGAGGACTCCAGTATTGAGCCTCTCCCGATTCCAACCCCAGTGGCTCCGACGGCCTGGTGAAGCTCTGGACCATCAAGAACAACGAGTGTGTGCGGACGCTGGATGCCCACGAGGACAAGGTCTGGGGGCTGCACTGCAGCCGACTGGACGGCCACGCCCTCACTGGCGGCAGCGATTCCCGAGTGATTCTCTGGAAGGTTGGGGTGCTCCGGGGCGGGGTGGGGGGCGGCAGCGATTCCCGAGTCATTCTCTGGAAGGTTGGGGTGCTCCGGGGCGGGGGGGGGGTGAGGGATGGGTCTGGAGCCCTGTCTGACTCCAGTCCACTCTCAGGATGTGACTGAAGCTGAGCAGGCAGAAGAGCAGGCCAAGCGGGAGGAGCAGTTGGTCAAGTAAGCCTGGGCTTCGCCGCGCGCCCTCTCCCTGCCTCCTCTGCGTGGTGTAAGGGCGCTGAGGCTGGGCGGGTTTCGGGCCTGCCGTTCTGACTCGGCCCCGGCCAGGGTCCCTGAGTAGCCCTGTCCTTCCTCTCCCCCTCCTCCCCGGCAGGCAGCAGGAACTGGACAACCTGCTCCATGAGAGGCGTTACCTGCGGGCCCTGGGCCTGGCCATCTCCCTGGACCGGCCCCACACCGTGCTGACCGTTATCCAGGGTCAGTGGCTGGGGCTTGGCTCTGGGGGTAGTTTGGGGGACCATCAGACTCCTTCCTTGAGCTCAGCCTTCCCTCCCACAGCCATCCGGAGGGATCCTGAGGCCTGTGAGAAGCTGGAAGCCACAGTGCTCAGACTGCGGCGAGACCAGAAAGGTGCGGGGAGGCGGGGGGAGGGGGGGGCGGAGCAGTGTGGTGGATAGGGCTGGACGGGACGGGACGGCACGGCACGGCACGGCCTGGCAAGGCTTCCGACCCACCCTGCTGCCCACAGAGGCCCTGTTGCGCTTCTGTGTCACGTGGAACACCAACTCTCGGCATTGCCACGAGGCCCAGGCCGTGCTGGGCGTGCTGCTGCGGCACGAGGCCCCGGAGGAGCTGCTGGCCTACGAGGGGGTGCGGGCTGTGCTGGAGGCCCTGCTGCCTTACACTGGTGTGTGGACACAACCCTTGCTGGGGGGGGGGCAGACCCGACCCGTCCGGCCCTGAGCACCCTTGACCACTCTCCGTCCTTCCCCAGAGCGGCACTTCCAGCGGCTCAGCCGGACACTGCAGGCGGCCACCTTCCTGGACTTCCTGTGGCACCACATGAAGCTGCCCTCTCTCCCTGCTGCCCCCCGGTCCTCTGAGACATAGAAAACATCTTTCTTTTTTAATCACGGCTCAGTGTGTAGTTCAAAACCCCAGCCTTGGCCAGGGGCCCGGCTCTGCACTACCCCATGCCCTGACCACACTGGCACGTGGTTAGGTCACTCAGAAGTTTTATTCAGTTCAGGAAATGGGGGTTACCACCTCCTGGCCCCTGCAGGTTGAGTCCCACCCTCATCCAGCTCCTCCGCCCCTGAGGATGGTGCGTCCATCCTTAGAGCCTGGAGCCCAGGACCGGGTCCTCCACCTGAGGCTGGGGTGCACTGCAGGCTCCTGGCAGGCTTGCAGACCCCCTCAAAGGGCGGTCCTGCCAGAGTGCCCTGCGGGTGAGGGTGCAGCAGCGGCTCTGAATGGTGCCCGGCAGGGGCCGGGCCGGCACTGCAGGGGGAGCTGGTCGAGCCTCATCCACCCCGGCATTCCTGAGGACCGCAGGCCCGCTCAGGAGCGCCCCCAGTCCCTCGGGACGCAGCAGCACTGCAGGCAGCAGACCCGTCCGGGGGCCGTGCCTGTAGGGAGGGGCGGAGCTCAGCGGTCTGGTGGGCCGCGCGCCGCCCCCTTCCCGCCCGGCCTGGCCCAGCCCAGCACCTGCACAGCCACCAGCCGCGGTCTGAGGTCTCCAGCACACGCACGCGCGCACCTGCGGGCACCGACAGCTCGTCCACACGGCTGCCCTCGTAGGCCCGGGAGGCACAGAACTGCATCCCTAGAGCGGATGTTGGGGGGTCACTGTGGGGCTGCTCCCCGTCATGCAGGGTGGCCCGGAGGGCACCAACCAGGCCCTGCCACGGCCTCCTCCCGGGCGGGCCTGGCTCCTACCGCTGCCTGCCGGCGCCACGCCCGCCTGGCCCCCACCGGCCGCCTCCTCCTCCAGGTAGGGAGCTGGGAACCAGGCCGTCTGCTGGTCCTCGTTCTCCACCAGCCACCAACCTACAGACGGACGGACGGGACTCGGCTCCAGCCACGGGACCCGGGACCCAGCCGAGGGGGCGCCCCGCCCGGGCCCCGCCCTACCCGAGGGGTGCCGCAGCAGCACGGCCAGGCTCTCGCCGGCCCGCGCCTGGAAGGGCCTGCCCCGCGTGTCCTGGGCGCCGAAGGGCTGCAGGCAGCGCAGGCGCGGGGCCTCCAGGCTGTGGGCGGCGCCGCTGGGGTCCTGGGGGCGCGGGGCTGCCTCCGGGGCCGGCAGGATCACCAGGCTGGAGGGGCAGGGGCACCAGGCTGGAGGGGCGGGGGCAGGGCTTGCCAACTCTCCCACGGGGCCGGGGCGCGTGCGGCACCTGCCGGGGGGCAGCACAGGCTCCAGGTCCAGGGGTTGCGGTGCGAAGAAGCCGGCGAGCGCGGGGCTGCGGGACACGCGGTCGGCCGACGCCAGCAGCGCCCGCGCGTAGGCGCCCAGCAGCCGCAGCCGCGCCAGGCCGCGGCCCGTGCGGCCCGCGCGCGCCAGCAGCGGGGCATCTGCGGGCACAGGGCGCACTCAGGGCGGGGGTGGGGGGACCGCCGCGGGCCCGGCCCGGCCGCCACCGGGACCCGCCCGCCAGGGACCCGCCCCCTGGCCCCGCTGACCCGAGAGCTTGGGGAGAACGCGGTCGGATCTCCGCAGCAGCCCCGCCTCGATCGGGAAGGCTTCCTCCAGGTCTTTCTGAGGGGACACGCGGGTGTCGGTGACCCAGAGCCCAGCGGGCTTCCGGGCGAGGCGGGGGCCGGGGCTCGCGTCGGGGCGGCCGGGACCCCCACCTGGAGCCGCCGGAACTCCTCCCAGCTCCTGCGCACCACGGTGTCGCTGCCGTCGGACCAGCGCACGGAGAAGGCGAAGGTCTGCGGGGGGAGGCCCGCTGGAGCCTGGCGCGGGCCGCGCTCCCCGTCCCCGTGGGGCTGGAGCCCCGGGCCGCACCTGAAGCCGCTCGCTCTGCACCAGGGCCAGGGCGCTCACGGACTCCGGGCGCCGGGGCCCTGCCATGGCTCAGCCTCCCTCGTCCTGCGGTCCTGGCGTGTGGCCGTTGCCCCCTCCTGTCCTGTCCTGTCCTGTCCCCGGAGGAGGCTTTAGGCAGCCGGAAGCCTGGCCCGAAGGAATTCCCCACTGAGGCCCCTGCGGGGCGCAGGGAGCCACGCCTCTGGTCCTCACCACACCCCGGCCCTTCCCTGCTTCCTGGTCATCCCGAGTGGAGTGGTCGAGGGGAGGCCGAGCAGAGCTGGGGGCAGGGCCGTGTGAAGCAGGGCGCTGCCGGGGTCTGGCTCCTGAGCCTGACGGTGGGGAGATGGACTGGGGGGCGGGGAGGCCACGGAGGCCCTGCGCACCTGGCCCCCCTCTCATCCTACTGGTAGAGGAAGGGTCTCTCCAAGGCCCCATTTTCCACAGACAGGTGGAAACTTAGGTTACATTGGTAATTGCTGTGGTGAGATTATTCTGGAAAAGCTAGGGGAGGGCTGAGCTTCACTAGGCACCATCCCCCCCTCCCAGCCCCCAAGGATTTCTTTGCAGCAGAAAGACAAGGCGCAGGAGAAGTGGGGTCTAATTTGGGGTCTGGGGAGGTGGACTGTTCTCAGAACCTCTCCCAAATCCTGCAAACAAACAACCACAGCCCGGGCATCATGGACAGTGACCCATTCCATCCAGGGGGAGGGAAAGAGGGCTGGCTGGGGCCCCGCCCCTCAGGGAGGATGCTCCCTTATAGGGTGGCTTTCCGCAACCCCATCCTACCCAGTGCCCAGCAGTCCCTGCTACTAAGGCCAGCAGCTGGGCATCACGAGGATCCCCTCCTCCAGGCCCTCTAGAGGACAGGGCTTCTGGGACATGTCTAGGAAGCTGTCCCAACCTCAACAAAGAGCCTTTGTGGGGTGTGTGTGTGTCCGTCCGTCCGTCCGTCCCACTGGCAGCTCTTTCTGAAGCCCTCTAATCTGCCCTGGCATTGACCCAGGTAGTGACCATCTGTTGACACAGGTGACTCACAGGATGCCTTCAGCCCAGCTATTCACCTCCTCTCCTGGGTAGAACAGACGCCCAGCCCCTCTGTAAGGATCCAGCTTGACATAATTACAGACACAGCCATCTTGGTTTTGGGTTTTTTTTTCAGTCCTGGGGCTAGAACTCAGGGCCTGAGAGCTGTCCCCAAGTTGTTTTTTTGTTCTGTTTTGTTTTGCTCAAGGCTGGTACCACTACCACTTGAGCCAAAGCTCCACATCTGGTCTTTTGGGTGGTTTACTGGAGACAAGAGTCTCAAATTTTCCTACCTGGGCTGGTTTTGAAATATGATCTGCAGATCTGTTTCCTAAGTAGCTAGGATTGCAAGTGTGAGCCACGGGTGCCCTGCTTGAGCTTTTGAGGTAGTTTTAGGTTCTGATTGGCCAGCTTTCATTCTATAAGTCCCTAAATTGTGCTGTAATGGGAACAGATACCTAGACATGCTATAGTTGTAGCTTAATGCCTATTTTATTGGCCAGGCGTGGGTGGCTCATGCCTATAATCGTAACTACTCTGGAGGCTGAGAGCTGAGGATTTTGGTTAGAAGCCAGTATGAGCAGGAAAAGTCCATGATCCTCTGCTTTCCAATTAACTACAAAAAAAAAAAAAGCGCCAGAAGTGGCACTGTGGCTCACGTGGTAGGGTGCTAGCCTCAAGCCAAAAAGCTCAGGGACAGCACCTAGACCCTGAGACAGGCACAAAACAAAGCAAATCCAATTTTGTTAACCATTCCTTTCATACATTTATAAAAGTTTTAAACAGACTTTGGTTTTCTTGCTCTCCCCCGGTGTGAGGGCGCTGGAGCACGTCTTCACAGCTCCAGACCTGGTGTGAGGGCGCTGGAGCAGGTCTTCACAGCTCCAGACAAGTTCAAGCTCCTCTCCTTATCTCACAAGGAGTGAGCAGGGCCAGGCCAGCCAGGGGTCCAAACTGGGGAGCAGAGTGGGAATAAGCAGACCCAAGAAGACACTGTCTGCCTCACGTCCTGCCTCAGCAGCTACCTCCAAGAAGCCCACAGCCCTGGACTGTCCTTTGAAAACCCATCTTCCCACCACAGTTCTAAAGATAGGATTGTAGCTTTTTTTTGGGGGGGGTCAGTCATAGGGCTTGAACCCAGGGCCTGAGCACTTTCCTGAGCTCTTTTGCTCAAGGCTAGCATTTTACCACTTGAGCCATAGCTCCACTTTTGGTTTTCTGGTGGTTAATTGGAGTTTAAGAGTCTGACAGATTTTCTTGCCAGGGGTTGGCTTCAAACCATGATCCTCAGATCTCAGCCTCGTGATTAGCTAGGATTACAGGTGTGAACCACCAGCACCTGGTTTAGTATTGGAGCTTTTGAGATAGCTCACACCATCTTTATTTTGCCTATTTTACTTGAAAAAAAAAATATATATATAAAAGCCAGGCACTGGTGGCTCATGACTGTCATCCTAGCTACTCAAGAGGCTGAGATCTGAGGACCACAGTTCAAAGCCAGCCCGGGCAGGAAACTCTGTGAGACTTTTATCTTTAATAAACCACTCTAAAAAACATAAGTTGCTCAAGGTAAATGTTCTAGCTTGAGCTGAAGATCTGAGGGAGAGCACCAAGGAAGGTCAAGAGTTCAAGCCCCACAGTTGACTATACACACATACACACACACACACATCTACCTTTACTTCATCTTCTCCAAAAACTCAGATCTCATTATTTGTGACTTGGTATTGAGTTCAAGGGACAGCCTTTGTGATATCAAATGTGGCACACAAAGTAAAGGACAAGGTCCTCGCCCTGAACCCCTGGACACTGGTAGAGCAGGAGGAGGCCCCGGGTCAAGCTCTGGGACAGCTCCAGCAGAGGCCTCCATTCCTCCCCTTCCCCCCTCACTCCTGCTTCTGGAATGACTTAGGGAAAAGGACACAGGATCCCGGAAGAGGTAAAGCCTGGGTCAAGCTTGGGTGAGACCTGGGTGGGCACCCCCAGGCCCCTTGCTTCCACCCTTTGGGGCGATCCCTGGGGGATGCTCTGGCTCTGTAGGGGCTTTTTGTGTAGTGGAAGTCAGGGATTGACTGTGAATGGGGAATTAGGGGAGCTTATTCTTGCCTGTTATCTTCCTCATTGGGTTACACAGTGACTGTTCCTTGGCCTGGGTTCCAGGGACAGCCCCCTTGTTTGTGTGATTTGTGTTTATGTGTCACATTTCTTATGGGTGTTGCTATGTCTCTTCTATCTGAAAAACCCTGTAGGAGGGATATTGAGCAAGAGAGCCATCTATAGTTATAAGTCTATGACAAAGAAAGTAATAAAATTTTATTACAATACTGCTTTGCTTATGTATACTTTGAAGAATGAGGAAAGATGATCTTTAAGTAGAACTTGAAGTTATTACATCATTTTGCAGTTAGCATCATTTTATCAGAAAGCAAGTAAATAAAATTCCCTGTTACTGGCATCTATACAGTTCAATAACAAAATCTAAGCAGCAAGAAATGAAGTTGACAGTACAAAGAAAATCTTAAGTCTCCAGAGCCCCAGGACCACCCCCTCCCCCCAAAGAAAAGATTAAGAAAATCTTATTACTTTTGAGTATAGTAAATAGCTCTTGAGCTGTGCCAGTGATACACACCTGTAATCCCAGCTACTTAGGAAAATTAGATTGAGGATTGTTTCTAAGCAGCCCAGGGTAGGAAAGTCCACGAGACTCTTATTTCTACCAAAAAGCAAGAAATAGAGCTCAGGTGATAGAGTGCCAGTCCAGAGCAAAAAAGCTCAGGGAGGGCTGGGAAGGTGGCTCAGTGGTAGAGCACTTGCCTTGCATGCTCAAGGCCCTGGGTTCGATTCCTCAGCACCACATAAGCAAAAAGAAAAAAGCCGGAAGTGGTGCTGTGGCTCAAGTGGTAGAGCACTAGCCTTGAGCTGAAGAGCTGAGGGACAGCGCCCAGGCCCAGAGTTCAGGTCCCATGACCGGACCCAAAAAAAAAAAAAAAAAAGCTCAGGGACAGTCCCCAGGACTTGAGTTCAGGTACCAGTACTTGGCTCATACATACACACAGGAGCACAAAAGATAGTCACATAGTCCTTTTGCATGGCAAAATTAATAACCTTTGTCTTTCTTAATGTTTTTTTAGTTGTGGGGCTTGAACTCAGGGCCTGAGCACAGTCCTTCAGCTCTTTCACTGAAGGCTAGCAAGTGTTCTTCCACTTTGAGCCACAGCTCCACTTCTGGTTTCCTGGGGTTAACTGGAGTTCAGAGTCTCACACTTTCCTTGTCCAGGCTGGCTTTGAACCACAATCCTCCAATCTCAGCCTCCTGAATAGCTAAGATTTCAGGCCCCCGAGCCGCCCGAGCCAGCTTCCTACTGCCTTTACAATACTCCCTCCCCACCTCCCACCAGCTGACAGGTTGCGGGTGGGTCCTTCCACCCCGTGACCTCTCCTTCACCGCCCCTGCAGTGCTACCCTGTCACCTTTGGCTTCGCTTTGGAGGTGCTCCCGGCTGAACCCGCAGCCCGCAGCCTCTGCCTGGCCTCACCGGGTCCCCGTTCCTCGTGCCTGGTCCCCCTGGTCTTGTCTTGGCTACTGCTTGGGTTGGTGAGCAGAGGAGGCCTGCCTTATTCCCTGTCGTGCGTGGAGCAGAGAGGCCACCGCAAACAGTTACGAATGAAGGAGCCCATGCAAGTAGCTGAGCAAGGCCTGAGGCTGCAATCCGGCGGGGA